TATGGCAGACTGTCATGAATAGCGGACACTAATTGGTCCAATTTAAAGTTTGCATTATAACGACTGTCGACTGTATGACGACAGCGAAATAGCAAACATTTCTTGATTTGATGATTGATAAATTTCTTGCAAATATATTAAATTTTTGCTCGCATTTTTGCAAGATTTTGTAAATTTCAAGAAAGAAAGGGCGAAAGAGTCGGCTAAAAGAAGGGAGCCGACGTCAACGAAGGTAAGTTTGTTTTAGATATTAATTTTATAATTGCTTTAAAATCCGACGGCCACTTTGGCCCTTTGGCTTTGCGTAGGCTATATGAAACAACTAAACAAGACAGCATAAAATTTCAGTGTATTAATAATATTGAATCCCTGTTTTATTAGGCCTATATTGAATTTTTTAAATAAAAAAGAAATCAAAGTTATTTGCATGCGAGAATTTGAAATCATTTTATTGCAAACTCAAAGTTTATCGATAAAGCCATTTTAATAATTAAAGGCAGTTTTAATAGTTTTATAAAGAACATTTTAAAACGTTTTGCGAAGCTTTTGAGTTTTGTGGTTGAATTTTACATTAAATTGAAGTTTATATTACGTATAATAACATACCTACCATATATATGTTGGTAAATTGATAATTTTGTAATTAAAAGTGATATTTTTAGGCGATTTTTCATTTGTAAGAATATTCTTAAAAATTATCTTGTTACCATGACAACAACTTTGGATACTTAATGTTCGGAAAATACAATGGTTTTGTCAGCAAGGCGAGGGTTTCTGCATGCATGCATTTTCTAGTTTTAATTAAGGAATATTAAAATGAAATTTTATGTAAATGAAATTTAACATTCAATAATTTATCACGTGACTACGTATTGTTATCGAAATTTATCTTAGTTACCCTCTGTTTTTGCTAACCAAGGATAGAAGTGATGCCCCATCATTTTTCTGGTTGCTCTTGTGGTGCTCTTCATGTTCAGCGCGTGCTTATGACACCACACTGTAGTACTACGTCTGGTTGTAAAATTCTAACTAAAGCCGTGCTGGCTATGAATAATTGAACAAGAAATACGGTAATTTTAAGGCAAGAAATAATGGAAGAACTTATTCTACTCAAATATACCAGAAAATGTATTTTTATGGCTCTTATGTTCTAATACCAAAATAATTGTCATGCAGTGATTATCTAAATAAATTTCGACGATAAATTAGTTGTAAATACGCTTTTATTATTCATGAATATTGAAGAACACTCTTCTTTAAAAAAAACATTTCATATCAGCCGAGTGTCACTATACTTCTCCTCCTACTATTCACTTCTCCACCTACACAAATGAACGGAAAATTAGCGTTGTTGATGCTGGGTTGATCAGTCATTTTGGGCATTCCCTCTCGCAACTAATTGATAACTGTAGTTATGTGGATAATGGTGAATCTACAGGTACACTTTTCCCATTGTTTAGATTGTCTAGATTTTCTGACGTGGAAGGCCAGTATCGGTCCAAAAGATCTGAAATATTGGACCCTGGGAGAAGTTTAATTTTAAATCCTTGATCTTAAAGTAACAACTGAAAAAACTATAAAAAACTCTTCCTAGCCAACAACATAGCTTCCTATATGGCACTGTAATATCGCTGCCATTGAATATATTATCACATAGCAGACTCACTATTGATAGTTTTTCAGTTTCCTTCCTTCCATGCTTTTGGATATGTCAAATCCTGCGCGAAACTACTAAACGCCATTATTACAGTCGAGTGCCACTTCCTTCACGTCAAAAACGTATTTGTCTAATCGAACGCATGAATTGATAAAAATAATAAAACACAACAATATCTCAATAGTAAGTTACAAATTAACTTACTGCAACTATCATCAGTTGTTTGCCGTTAACTGGATATTTGATATATGCATGCCCTCAATTATGAATTACATTTTAAGGTAGCCTAATACATTTTTTAAATGGAAAATTTACAATTGAGATAAATATTTTTTTGAGAATTATTACTTAAATTATTGCGTAAAAAAATATCGTACTTATGTAAAACAATATCTAAAGAGTTCTACAACTCCCGTTTCTATGCCAATAATGACGTTTCAATATGGCGGACATGTTATCTTAATTTACCTCGACGACGACATCGGTGACTATCACTTTTGTTTCATCAGATGATTTATAAGCATAATGAATTATATTGTGACAATTCTGAACAACCTGTTGAGCCAAATGATTTGCAATTATTCATAATTTATTTTTTCGCTCAACAGGTATTTTTTAAAACTATCAAAGTATAATTCAATACACTAAGCGAAATAATTTTATGAAATAAAAATTAATGGTCACCAATATGGTTTTAGAGCTGAATAATTTTAAAATCAAAATATATGTTGACTGATTGTTGGAATATAATGTTCAAACGTCATTTTTGCCATATACCAACGGTAGTTGTATAACTTTTGTGTAAAAATTTAATAATAGGGCAATAGGGACCTGCATTTAACTTGAATATAGTATATTTCACGAATATATAAGTATATCCTAAGATCTATTTCACAACGCCATCTTGAAATATATATTTTCCTTCTTGAAGAAATTTCCGAATCAGATGAGAGTGCTCTACGTGTTAATTTATATATTGGTAGCACATGACTGTTACCTTGACAGCCTTGCTTCAGAGCGAGCATTTTATCCACGCAGCCTAAGGGCTCTTCACCCCAAATTGTATATATTGCAGTACGTTGGTCAGAGAAATTAGTGCAACTAAGTGTCTGAAGACAAGATATACGGTATCATTTGAAGAAACCATCAGGTATGAATATATGTTTAGTATGGTTTCAAATTGCTTTATTTGCTTGCTTTGGATATACCTTGCTTTATATTATTATTGTTATTTAAGCTTATTTACTCAAGATAGTCATTCAGGTGTCTTGTTTTCAAAGGGCCGTGCACATTTACTAAAAATTATTATAAAACTATAAAAAAATATTTACTATAAAATAATCAAAATATAATATATTCTATTTACATAAACCTATGGTTAGGCATGATGACCTCCCAGTTCAAATACACAAGTCCTCATTATTCTCTTGGAAGAATTGATAGAATTAAGTTTCAGGTATTTTTATGGACACATGGAACATCTGTGTTTAATATTCAGGAGGCACGCCCTAAGTACTGTTTTGGAAGGTTGGTAGCGAGTTTTTTACTTTGCATATTTGTTTACTATTACTGTGATGTGACTGAAACGATGACAGTGCTAATCCACGAATCCCATAACATCCCAGTTTGCATGATAATAGAATCTTACGGTTCACCGTGTCGAATGCGTTTTGGAAGTCCAGGAACAGGTCGCCATTAATCAAGCCATCATCCATGTTTGCTAGCCAGCTGTTAGTTACATGTTGTAATGATGTTTCAGTAGAATGATTTGCTCTAAAACCAGACTGAAATTTAGATATTATTTGGTGTTGTTCCAAATACTTCATTAATTATTCATGCCAACTTTCTCCCAATATTCGCAAATACAATAAACCAATCCAAAAGAATACAGCACCACTGTACATATACAAAGCAGCAATGGATTTTTAAGCAACGTTTGAATTTGGTTAGTAAAATGCGTCGCCTGGAAAAGTGCGAATCCCATTTCCCAGTGAGCCTGCTCGCAGGCTGCCAGTGGCGCGTTGTTCAAAAGCTGGCCATCTTAACTCTGCGCTAACATGGTTTATAAACCTGGAAGTATTTCTGCAGAAATTTTGTCGGGGTAAATAGAAGTTCTGATAAACGGGCATCGTGAAACACAAACATCGAAACAACAGGTTGAATTTTAATCCAAGGTTAGTGCTAACGCAGGTTTGAACAACCGGCCCCATTGTTGGATCTTACAAAGTTATCGAAAGGCGTTCAGTGACGAGAGGAATCCACAATGTCAGCCATTTGGAGTAGTTTCATAGAGTGAAAGGTTCTTGTAATCAGATCGACTGGCATGGGACATGGCGGCAACATTGCGATGGTTTCTTCAAAATCATATCCGCCAAGAAGATGTTGGATTTGTGTGTTCTTAGTTTTAATCATTTAGTTAATATATAGTTTTCCATAGCTAGATATAAAGTTTTCCATTGCCATAAAGGTGGCGCTTTTTCTCCTGAACCGACGAGTATTTCATCATAGATCAATTAATTATGTTCATCTGATCGATCGTTCTTCTGAAACTCCACGCTTCTCCTCTTCGGTGTCGTAGGCGTACTGTAAGTGTCGATATTAAGTTATTTTTGGTTTTTCCAAAAGCACTAGCTAATCATGGATATTGGTCTAAGATATTTCTACTGTTTGTTTTACGATATTCGTTTTCGTAATTCATCTGCCCTCGACAAAATTTGAAATAGAAATAACATAAAGTAAGTTATGTGTGTCGGAAAAACGCCCTAACGTTAACATTGTGGAATCTACCCACAGCAACAAGATGGTTTCGAGACTAGAACGCCAACGTTATCACCAGCCGTTGAGGATATAAATAATTACAGAAAAAAGCGAGTTACCACTCAAGATTAAACTGTTGGTTGGTTATAATTCGATAATAATGCATGTGTTCGAAACTGATTTTATATTGGATTTCAGCTTCAGATTCTGCATGCTTTGCTCTACACCATGGCCAGGTTTCGTATTTCAATAATAAGTATATCACATTATAACTAGCATCTACCGGTAACTGTAAAGTACGAATAATTGACACAACTCACCATAGAACGTATGTAAATAGAGTGAGGTTTCACAGTTTTCTCTATTTTTATAAGCAGGCAACGCAAAACATCCGTACACGATGCCTTCGCAACTCTTCCCAGCTTGGAAACTTACATTGCGACCACTTAATTCACGAAGGTTCTTTTAGTTCATATATTGGTTTCCCAAACGTATATTACTGAGCCTGATGTTTCTTATATTAAGACAGAAGCTTGACAGAAGCTTTCTTTTTTTTATTAGGAATTAATATTCACCAAGTACCAAAATGAAAACTACCTTCCTGATTGCTTTGGGGATTTCAGTCATTGTCGCAACAACTCAGGCCGTTTGTCCAAAATGTGACTCTGGGAAGATCAAGTGTACTCCGATTCACAAACTGGATTGCAAAGGTGGACTTGCTCCTGATCCATGCATGTGTTGTGCAGTTTGTGCCAAAATCAAGGGTGAGAGTTGCGGAGGACCCTTTAACATAACAGGAAAATGTGACTGTGGTTTGAAATGCTTGAAAAGTCCAAAGGATATCGAAAATATGGGAGAATTTAATGCCAATGGACTATGTGTACCAAGGTAAGAGGTTTATGCGATATTCGCGATACTTGAGTAACTCTTACTGACGGAAACCTCCAGCGAAAGATGGTGTAGAGGTTTCACACCTGACAATGTAAGGGCAGTTGCGAAATATCCAAATATGATAATCCCTCTAGCAGGAATCGAACCTGCGGTCCTGCGATTTCAGTACAGGTATATAGCCTAGCTATCAGTCTATTTTCCTCAAAATTAGCTTAGAAAACAAGGTAAATAAGTTTGGACACATTTATAGCATAAAAAGTCTTTTTCAATAAACAATGTGTCTGTCAATCAATGTGTCTGTCAATAGACAACTTGCATTGATTTAGGCCAAAAAAAGTAAATTCCCGTAAAGAACTTATTAAAATCAGTAAAATTGCAAAATTTGGTTGCGAAATGTTGTAAAATGTAGAAACTATAGCCTTGCGAAGTTTGCATATTTTCAGTATATTTGTATTACGTGCGCAAATTGTTACCATTTTTGAGCCTAAAATGGTAACAATTTTCGCACGTAATACAAATATACTGAAAATATGCAAACTTCGAAATGCTATATTTTCTGCATTTTACAACATTTCGCAACCAAATTTTGCAATTTTACTAATTTCATTATTTTCTTTTTAACTGTTGTGTTTTATTCCCTTCTCTTTACTTAGATTAAAATTTAGTCTAACATGCAAGTTGTTCATCAGTGCCGTAGCCAGCTCGATAATTGGGAGAGGGGGGGGACAAATATTCATATATTCGTGTTCACAGACCATAAAAAGAATCGATTTCAAAATAAATTAATAACGGAATTACGAATATGGCCCCCCCCCCCCAATTATCGAGCTGGCTACGGCACGGCTGTCAATAAAATAGAAAACAAACAAAAAGCAAAGTCTGTTAAGAAAGTTATACGTACCTGAAGAAGAGTTTTAATAAAAAGCTTTGAGCCCAGTTAAATGGCTTCTTTATCGGGAATTTTAAGCCAATATTCGTCTGCCAGTGATTGGTTCCGCTCTTCGTTTGCATGAACAGACTGCATGAGACCGTCTCGTTTGGCCTCAAGTTTCCGTTTGGAGATAGCTAGCGTTCCACTTCCAGGAGATAAGGGTATCATCACAACTACAAGGTTTCTTAAAAATGTGTTCTTCTTAAAAATATATGAAAAATCATAGTGTTGTTTACTCTATGATGACAACATATATTCATGAAAAAATGTTCTGTTTTAATCTATATTGTGAGAAAATTACCAAATTATAAAAAAACCAATTCGCCGCCAAAATGTAGAAGTGATTTAGTGCTACAAAGTAATACGTGTCACAGAACCAAATAAATGCACGTATTAAAAAGGTATTAGGGTCTGTTCTTATATGAGCTGAGCACGCCTGGTAATCCGTGCTGACTCGCAAGCAAGTGGAGAGATTTCGCCTCGTATATTGTTTTTATACATTTTTGAGATTTGATTCACATGAGAACCGGGCTGGTCCGGTTTGCCGGGAACACGTTTGAGCGAGGTGAGATATCGCCTTCGCTTGCTCATCTGTATACGAACACACTTTATAACGAAAATTGAGCCGCGACGCATGCTTTATTCTATCTATTCAAAACAAGTAAGAAATCACCAATATTGAAACTTCTGAAACTTACAAAATTAAAACAAATATCGCGTTCCCACCAAAAATCGCGAGAGACTTTCTATAGCGCTTGCCGGGCTAGCCCGCCTCATGTAAAATAAATAACAATTTGTGCCGGCAAAACAAGCTAGCCCAGTTTAGCGGGCCAGCCCGGCTCATATGAACATTCCCTTAGATAATTTAATAGAAGGTATAAACACCGGTCACGTTATTTTTTTAAATGCTTCAAATTTAACCGTTAACCATAATCAAAATAATTTGATTATTTCACATCATATTTAGCATTCTCTTAGACGAGCAAATATATCTAGTAAAGAAATGACATAGATAAGCGTTTCCCTAAACGATTTTTAACATGTTTTCTTCGCAATTTTCGCGATTTTTGTAACAACAGTACGAAGTCCCACCACATCTATAGTTCTTACTGGCGGGAAATCTAGTAATGATGGATCTCTAAGAGATCGACAGTGCATTTGTGATCGTCGCACTAGATAGTCTATCAACTGCTTCTTGCAATTTACGTTAATTTTGATCTTTTAAACGTATTGCAACCTTATACGACGACGTCACAAAAGGTGTAATTTAGCGGGCATCTCCTGAGAACATACATGCATGTCTTACGGTCACGTATAACGCTATCTGCATCGCTTGATTTTGTAGATGTTCTAAGCTTTGGACAATTAAAAAGTCAGACTTGATCTGGCAATAGATCACATTTGTGTAGGGAGTTTTATTTCTTCTATACCGCTCACTCCATTTTCTTTACCTTTTAGCAAAAAGTGAACTTAGACGTTGGCTGAATAAACAGACTGATAATTGTACACGAATCAAGAATCTGATTAACACTTATCACTCGCTCATAATATTTCATAGTTGTATTATAGAAACAAAATAAAACCAATATTTTATCAGTTTTGGTTGTTTTCTGAATAACTAATTAATTATAAACACCACACAAAAAGAAAATTCCACGCCCTTAAATATATCATGATAAGTTCTAAATAATTGATTACCTGATAATCAAGCCTAAGGCTAATTAGACCTATAGTAGTTTGCTTCATGCTATTTGAAGAATGGGGTCATCCATGCTTGAAAGAATGACTTGGCCTCCATTGAATACAAAAATACCCAATTTCAAAATTAACAAGAATGACTTTATCTAATTTTCATAACACCAGTATAATGTTTCATCAATGATTTAATAATGGGTGCAACCACCACGCCTCTCGATCACGTCAAGGCGTCGTCTCCTCATGGTGTTGAGGACTCTGCTCACCAGAACAGGTGGGAAATTTGTCGTCGCTGACCAAATAATCGCGGGCTAATGCAAAGCTCATTGCATTTACATTCAAAACAAAGCAGAAAGTTAGCAAGAAGCTGTTTTAGCTGACGATTTTTTGCTTTCCATTCAACGATTTAAAAATTAACGGTTATTCTTTTAAAAGTCGACTATGAATTCTTTGTTTTGGGATGATTTCTTTTGTAATCGAGTGATTGGAAGAAGTTAATATGGTCACGTGAACATGGGAGTAAATACCGTATACGTCGATCTGTGGCTTGTTTAAAACCGTAATAAACGAAGAAAGAAGTGATATGAGAATGAAATGTAAGTTGAAATTAACTTTATATGCCTCAAATTTTCCATCCTATGTTTTTCAATGTAACTTCAGCTGTCTGAGTTCAAAATACAAGCTCGCGAAATTTGACAAATTTTGAAAATATGTAAAAATAGCTTGACTTTGAACTGTATTTTCTCAAAAATAGCCCGTGGCCTCAATTTCAAATATAGCTAAATGAAAAGAAAAAACTTTTCGGCGTTTGTAGGTATCAAACATATCGTCAGGAAAATAGGGGCTCACAATGTTTTAGTTGAGTCTTTGAGACCCAGTTGCTTCGCACGTGTTGTGGTCAAATTTTTGCCAAGAATCAAAGGCCGAAATGTGAACTTCCTTCATGAAAACCGGCTCGAGAAGGGTCTAATTTGAAAATTTAGCTATTAATTTCGATTTCATGAGCATATTTTTGTTACACGTTAAATATTTTTGTACTTGATGAGATTCAAAATTTGTTGTATATTCAAGCCCGGCTTTAGTGTAATTTTGGTGATGACCGGAACAGAAATAAAGATATTTTAAAAACTGACCGTGGCCTCACGATAAAACTTTCTAAAAATGTTCTCTGTTTCATGCATTTTTATTTGGTATCTTAGGTATAAGCGTAAAAATAGGGGCTCATACAGTTTACGAGGTTGTAAAATGCATGACTTGCCTCTATTTTCATGTAAACATTCGAAATTTTTCGACAGCAAAGTAGCAACTGTTTCAGATCGAATGCACACGGACAGCCCACCGGAGACAATGACAGGGTACTGAAATAGAACGTCACTAAAAAATTCTGTATGATTAATTTAGATCATGTCCATTTTCAACATAAAACAGTCATTTATTTTGTACAAACATTTGGCAATATTTACACGATTGTGCCTTTTTGTAAACACGCGTTGCGTGTATTCCACTCAATTGCGTGACTCATTTTGCTCGCGCATGCTCAGATAAATTTCCCACCTGTTGCTCACCAGCCGATGAGATATAGCTGGCCATCTTGATCAAAATCAGCCAGAGTGCTGTACTCTTCGAACTGGCAATAGACAGACCGCTTTTGCTAGCTGGTCCCAAAGATACTCAATTGGGTTGAGATCTCGCTAGTTCGAAAGCCACATCATTCTCTTTATGAGGAGAAGATACATTGAATTAAGTAATCGAATAGCGTGATGGTTGCACCCATTATTAAAACATTGATGAAACATTACTGTTGTTGTGAAATTTAAATAAAATCATTCTTGTTAATTTTGGGTATTTCTGTGTCCAATGTTGGAGGTTAAGTCATTCTTTAAAGCATGAATGACCCCATTCTACAAACAGCATGGGGCGAACTACCAATCTACCATAGGACTAATTAGTGTCAGGTGTGATTATCATGTAATCACTTATTTAGAACTTATATATGTAGGGGGAACTTTCTTTTTGCGCGGTGTTTTTTTTAAAGTTAACGTAAATATCTTAGTTAAAACGGATATGAGTAAACATGTATACAAATAAATTGCAATATATTCAATCATCTGTGGATACGAAAACAATACGACAACGTACTAAGCTATGTTTTACTTGTAACAATACATAATTATATGCAATTATTCTTCCATCATAAATTATTAAGGAAAAATGCTGACAAAAGCTGTGTTGCCAAGGCGACGGTAGGAAACTTGTCCCCTTTTCTAACCTTTTTTCACAGTGTAGATTCAGATTCGTTAAAATCCGGAAAAAAAATTATGGAGGGCTGGGAGGTAGAAAATTGTCAGCGCGGACTCTGTTGCGTATCTTG